CATTACAGGGCTGTGTCAGAAGTGGATGTGATAAAATTAATGGTTTTATATTTGTTCTCTTGAACTCATTTGCAAATGGACCTGAAAAGGATGGCTTTTTTTTTTTAATTCCAGACTGTAGCAAAGTTTTATTATGCCTCTTTTAATGTATTTTTGCATTTCTTAGGAGATACAGAAAGCAGACTGTCCCATCAGAGATGCTCTTTTGTTGGCTTCCTAAATGTCTAATTCTGCTGGGCTGTAGTTGGAGAGTGAAACTGGCTGCATCTTCCCACTTCACATATATTTAAGGTTAGATCTAAGGCAGAAGCTCTTCCCTGTGAGGGTGCTGAGGCGCTGGCACAGGGTGCCCAGAGAAGCTGTGGCTGCCCCATCCCTGGCAGTGTTCAAGGCCAGGTTGGACACAGGGGCTTGGAGCAAGCTGCTCTAGTGGAAGGTGTCCCTGCCCATGGCAGGGGTTGGAACTGGATGAGCTTTAAGGTCCCTTCCAACACAAACCAGTCTGGGATTCTCTGAAAAGTCAAAGGTGGTTTTAGAATACTTCCGCCACACCAGCAAGGCATTTAACCCTGATATCACATGAGGTCCCTTCCAGCCTAGATGACAGCATTATTCTGTGAGAGCTGTGGACTGTACTTCCCAGTTGATAAAATAAGAGACAATCATCAAGCATTTAAAGGATGGGTGAAAAGTTAAGATGTAGAATTTGAGTGGCAGAAGCTTTAGGGCTTATAAGTGACTTAATCACAGACCGCTTGGTTACTGAATTGCATAAAGTCCAAGTACATAGATTTTTCTTTATAGCATTACCTTGGCATTGAAGTCCTAAAAGGCAGTGCTTTAGAAAGGCAGGAGTTGTTGGTTTTTGTGTCTGATTGTGTGCAATATAACAGTTGAGAGCATGAAATACTGTAAAGTGTAAATCCAAACTTCAGTACTTTGTGGTTTTTGTTAATGCCTTATGTGTGTTTTTCAGCTAGCACTATGGAAAAGCGATAGCATTGCATACTGTATTTCATTAAATCACCTCCTGGAAATAGCAGGACACATCTTGGAACAGTATTTCCTAATGATTTAGAAGGATTTTACTCAAACTATCAAGTGTAAAGAAAAATGTGTAGCCAGCAGCCTGCTCTGCTGCAGCAGCACTTTTAAACCCACTTTCTTTCTGTATAAATGATCAGTGTAATGCATAATGTCTCTTGTCTCTTAACTAGAGTTTTGTGCTTGAATGTGAAAACCATTCCATTGAGCCTTTATATTTGTTGTAATTAAAACTGTCATTTTAAATGATCCATTTACATGGAATACTTGGAGTAGTGGACCATACCGATGAGTTGTGCTGTTTAATTCCTTATAAATTGTAGATATGTATCTATTTGTTTTACTTTGGGCTAGATAATAATATAATTTATTACTTTAGATTTAGCTGATGTTTGCCTTTATTCAGCAGCAGTAGATGCTGGATGCCAGTAAAATGAATTTGTAATGTCAAGGAAGAAGACTACTGTAAGATGATGCAAGGAAATGTTTAGGATCAGCACTATGTACCTTCTATTTGTTTCGTTAAGCCCCTCCCAGCCACCCAATCATGTAACTCAAATACCTGAAAGTTCCTTCAAAATCCCACTTTTGTCAAAACTCTGATGAATTTCAGTCAGGTGAGAGGGGTATTGAGGAATTCCATTGTGAGTAAAAGTTGCCCTGAAGGAAAAAGGTGCTTCAGGAAGTTATTTAGTTGTATTTTGTTCTGTAGGTATGGTAAGATGCGTTCCTGATCACATGAATGGGGATTCGAGTAGATATGAAAGACTTCTGATTCTTGCTTTAAGATGCTGCTATGAGTAAGGCAGGCTTGGCTGTTTTTGAAGAACATAAACCGAGTACCTCTTTGGCCTAAATTGCATGAAGCTTGATTATGAAATAGTATAAATTTCTTCTTTTTCTTTCTTCCATGCAAGGAAGGAAGAAAAATCAGTAAAATGCTTGCTGTACAACTTGTGACTGGGTGTTTTGATCCTAGGCGTTTATTAAACTAGATTGAGATGAGCTCTTAGGCAGAAGCTCTTCCCTGTGAGGGTGCTGAGGCGCTGGCACAGGGTGCCCAGAGAAGCTGTGGCTGCCCCATCCCTGGCAGTGTTCAAGGCCAGGTTGGACCCAGGGGCTTGGAGCAAGCTGCTCTAGTGGAAGGTGTCCCTGCCTGTGGCAGGGGTTGGAACTGGGTGAGCTTTAAGGTCCATTCCAGCCCAAACCAGGCTGGGATTCTTTGCTTTTTGGAAGACATCAAGAAATCCCATTTTAAGGAAGAGGGGTGGTCTGTAACTACAAAACCTAAATTTGGATGACAGGGTATGAATGACATAGATTCAGTCTTTCCATTTCTGACATAGATATTTCACATCATTATTGGTATCAATGAGCAGGTTAGTATTAAATACTGGCTTTCATATTCATCTGCTGGAATAGAAGACAGCACTTAACTGTTCAGTAAACCATTTTACATGTGCAATTGGGAAAAGAAAGAGGTGGGCAGATAGTAATTTGTTGAATCAGGTATGTATTAATAACAAAGGTGGAAGTTGGAAGTGAGGGACTTCCCCTGCACTCCTATCCGTTACTCCATTGTGATGATGTTCCCTTGAGGGATTGGTTCAGCAGCAGCAGTAAGATACGATAGCCAGAGAGGTATAGCACAGAATCTTCTTTCTGGGATCTTCATCATATGGTGTACTTAGAAACCAGTAGCTTAAAGATCAGATGGGGGGGTTATACCACTTTGGCAGGGCTCTTATAGGTGCCAGTTTTGGGTGTCCTATCCCCATTCCTTACTCTTTTGCTGTGGTAGGATACAGCTGTTCATGGCCAAGGAGATCCTCAAACCTGGCATGTCTGTAAGGTAGCATTAAGATATCTGGATTCATTTTAAATGGGCTGGTTAAGGTTGAACTAGCAAGTCTTGCCCTGAGCTCTCTGCTTGTGGGAAGCCAGCGTTATATCTCCATCCCTTCTCTTGCTGTCATGGCCATACTCTCCACTGTGGTCAGCTAATTCTGAGGAGTGTCAGAGGGTCTGAAAAGCCTTTTAGTGGCTCACTGTAGGGTTAGGAGTCGAGTTGGGAACATAGATGAGTTTCTGCGTTGTCGTTGATTCACGGACTGGTTTGGGTTGAAAGGGACCTTCAAGCTCATCCAGTTCCAAGCCCCTTCCTCAGGCAGGGACGCCTTCCACTAGCGCAGCACCTTGTAGCAAGCTTACAGCAAAGGGCACATGGTGTTTGGGCAAGAGTAGAAAAACCATCCCATCCCTCTGTAGTGTACTGAGCAGGCAAACTGGATGTGACAGCCGCTGTTTAAAGCCATCAGGGGCTTATCTTGTCATTACAAGCCCATTCTTTTTAAGTGTTAGGAAAACTGAGAGGAGATCTCACAAAGGTTCGTAATTCCAAGGGCAAGAAGACGACTTGAGAAGACTTAACTGAGCTTGTGTCAAATACAGGGATAATGTGCCAAAAATGAGATGCAAATGCGTAAGTGAGTTTTTTAGTTGAGTTTTGGGGCGTTTGTAATTTTGAAACCTCTAGAAGCCTTTTTCAGATGAAAGCACCATTTGTGGGAAGTATAATCCAGAAAGGATGAGGAAGGAGCTCTCTTCAGTCCCAGGCAACGCGAAAGGATTTCTCCACTGCCTCTCACAAGAAGCAGCTGCTGAGACTTCTATTTTGACACTTCTTTCCCTCCTTAGACACAACATCATTTCTCCAATGGAAAAGGCAACCGGCGTGTTTTGACTGCACCATTGATTGCGGGAAGGATTTGTTATAGCAATGCTGCAGGAATAATTTGGGGGACCTTGGGAAATCACTTAATGGAATTTGGTCCATGTCTGCATAATCTGACTTCTTTTTTTTTTTTTCCCTGCTAGAGTAATTGAAGATGCTGCTTAATAAACTTTTTATCAAGATTCCCAGTTGGTTGCTGCGTTTCAGAGGGTTGTATCTGAGCACACAAGTAATACATCTTGTAATTGTCTTTTCTTTTCCTCCCCACCTCACTTAAATCTGTTCCCTGGGGAGGAATCTAATGTACTGTAATGCTGGTGCCTTTTACAAAGTGACCCTCCTCATTACAATTTGTTCTCTTGAAGCTCCCTTGACAACAGATAAATGCACTGAGAATACTTAAGCTTCCTCTCCATCACTCTTTCAAAAATCTATTTCAAAACCAGTGTTTCATGCTGCCATTTCTATTCCAACTTCCCTAATGCTGCCTTTGGTGTCAAAACATACATGCAACAGATAAGTTTTAGTAGCTAAACAACTTATATCCCTGTATTTTCATGATAATTAGATGTGATGTGCTTATATCAATCCTTACAGTGAAGATTTCCAATGTATTTATGGCTTGTGACATAGAAACGTTGAGGATTTTCTGGGGCTGGAGGTGCCTTTATTAACTCTGCAACAAATTCAATAGCTGGCTTCATCTCATCCTCTCAACTTACTGGGAAGGGTTTATTATGGATGTTGGATCTTTCTTGCAGCTTGGTAAATTGATGCTGTATTTGGGTTTAAGGTGTGTCCAGAGGTAGGAAAGCATGATCCCATTGCAAAGCTTTTAGCTGGAAACAGGGAATCCTCCCCACCAACCAGCTTGTGGGGAGAATGATTTTCCTGGTGTAAGGGTTCATTAAAAACAGAACAAAAGCAGCGAACCAACAGAGCTGTGCACATGTTCTTGTTAGTTAAGAATATAGTTTCCTAAAGCTCATAGATTAGTTTTGTGTTTGATATGATGTAATGAATATTGTTTCTAAGGCTTGGAGCTTTTGTGTATTCTGAGTTAAACACTTCAATCTGAAAGAAACATCTGGAATTTGTTGTCAATGCTTGAATTTAGGTGTCTTCAGCTGCTGATAACGTATTACAGTGACTGTGCCAATGTCCTTCTGAAGTCCATTTAGAAGCCCCACCTTCAATGTCAATTTCCCTCCACCTTCTGTAGATTGAAACAAGAGCAAATGTACGTTCGGGATGAGTTTGGCCGCCTCCTGGAACGAGAGAGGATCTCTTCAAATGAGCATTTGACTCGAGCCATTCTCCGCGAGCGAGCTGCGACAGAAGAGGAGCGGCAGAAGGCCCAGCGCTTTGTGAGTTCAGAAGCTTCTATGGAAGTCTCAGATGTTTCCAACAACCGTGTCTTCATAGGGTCACAGAATGGTTTGGTTTGGAAAGGACCTTAAGAGCATCAGGTTCCAACCCCCAAGACTTCAGACTTGTTTCAAACTAGCGGTGGAAAAGGAAAGCGGAGCTGCTCCTGTGTTTTCTTTATTACTAGTTAATAGTATGTCATTTTATTTCTTTTTTGTCCAATATCCCTGACTTAGGAATAAGAAAGAGCCTTAAGAAATTAGGAGTTGATCCTTTCAGAAGGTTGCAAATAGAGTATGCCTTCTTGTGTGTGGATAGTATTAAATGTCTGTTTTCAGAGGGGGGAAGAGTAAGAAGGTATTCTAGGTTTATTTCCTTAATCTGATAATTCTATGTTAAGAAGTTGTAGATTACAAGAGAACTTTTCTAGAACTTAATTATTTATATAATAGAATTCTCTTATATTTTGTATTTATTAAACTTAAATAGGGAAGTTCAGGTTGGATATAAGGCAGAAGCTCTTCCCTGTGAAGGTGCTGAGGTGCTGGCACAGGGTGCCCAAGGAAGTTGTGAATGCTCCATCCCTGGCAGTGCTCCAGGCCAGGTTGGACAGAGCCTTGGGTGGCATGGTTTAGTGTGAGGTGTCCCTGCCCATGGCGGGGGTTGGAACTGGATGATCTTAAGGTCCTTTCTAACCCAAACCGTTCTGTTATTCTGTAAATGCTATTCTATTGTGTTTAAAGGGAGCCCATAATATACCTGGGCTACAAATCTGGCTAACTATAAAAATTTAAAAAGTATTGTTTTGAAGTCTTGTATGGGCTTGAAGAAAACAAAAAATTGAACTTTTGATGGTTGTCTCAAACCTTGGAACCAGCTTAGTGAAAAATTCTGTATCTAAGAATCATATTTCATTGGAGCTGATGGATGAAAATACTTCCTGACAAGGTAGTTATAAAATATGGCTGAAAAATATCCTCTGAAAACTGACCTTGTGTATTTCAGTCCATTTCAAATGTCTGTCAGATTTATAACTTCTTATATATAATGGTCGCTTCCTATATTGAGTCTGTATTGACTTTTCTTTGCAAGAATCATTGTTCTCTGAGGTATGAATATGCTGTTGCTTTTAAGTACATGAGTATAAATAGTAAAAAAAATGGTATTTTAAAGAAAAGCTTAAAATACTTGTGAACATTCCTAAGAAAATAGGATTATTTAGGTCAGCAACCATATAAATATGTTTGCCCCTCTGTATCTGAAATACGACCAAAGCTTTCTAAGGTGTGTTGGTTGGAAACACAATAAAGCAATCACTTCAGTAAGCAATAGCTTTGGCTGTGCTGTGTAAGGGAGAAATCCTTTGCTCATGTTATTTTTCCGTATAGCAATTTACAACCAAGCAAATATTACCTGAGTACACCTGAGTATTAGTAGTTCTTGCAGGCGTGTCCCAGTGCTTTTTCACCTCTATGGTTATGTTATTACTGAAGAATATGCTAAGCAAATGTTTAATGTTTTGTCATCTTAAAATACAGAAACAAAGGAGAATGAAGAGGAATTGTGACCTGTGTGCACCATGAGTCTAATGCCTTGAAACCTTGGATTCTTAACATTGTGCATGAGAGGGCAGGGGTTTGTAGCCTCGACCTGATGAGGAGCTAAAGATTTATAATGGGGAATATTACTTGCATAATTACCAGGGGGCTTTACAGCTTCAGTTCCTACTGTAGTTAGTACTGAGCTTTTGAGCAGCATTTGGTGCTGTTGTCATTGGCGTAAAGCTTGAGAGAGTTCTTACTGTAGGTATCACACTGGTTTATTTAGCCTTTATATCAAGTTTATTGGCAATTTTGACTTACTCTAGAATATTGAAGTTCTTCACTGCCTACATAAAGGAATCAAGAATTGCTGTTAACTGGTTTGGAACCTTACCAAGCCTGGGAACTGGTGTTTCAAGGTTTGTGGTGATGCTTTTTGTGGAGTTGGAAGAAGGACATAGAAAAGGTACTAATGAAATGACAGGAACACCTTAAATTCCTACAGGATGTCCCCTCTTGTGAAGGACAGCATGACTTGCTGCCTTTCCGTGCATGACATTTTAGAGCTTACTGTCAAACCCATGCTTTTGTGGAAGCATAGGTGTGTAAGATTTTGCGCATCGGGAGAGAAGCAAAGTATCTGAGCTCTGCTAGTGAATGATGTACTCACCGGTGTAGTCACCTCAGTTTTGATCATCTAACTGTCCCAGTCTGTGGGCCTCAGCACCCTCACAAGGAAGAGCTTCTGCCTAAGAGCTCATCTCAGTCGTCCCCCCAGCAGGTTAAAGCCATTCCCCTTGGCCTGTCCCTACAGGCCCTTGTCCCAAGCCCCTCTCCAGCTTTCCTGCAGCCCCTTTAGGCACTGGAGCTGCTCTAAGGTCTCCCCTTCAGGAGCCTTCTCTTCTCCAGGCTGCCCCAGCCCAGCTCTCTCAGCCTGGCTCCAGAGCAGAGCTGCTCCAGCCCTCGCAGCATCTCCGTGGCCTCCTCTGCACTCGCTCCAACAGCTCCACGTCCCTCTTGTGCTGCTGCCCCAGAGCTGGATCAGGACTGCAGGGGGGGTCTCCCAGAGCGCAGCAGAGGGGCAGGATCCCCTCCCTGAGCTGCTGCTCACGCTCTGGGGGTGCAGCCCAGCACATGGGGGGGTCTGGACTCAAGCACACACTGAAGCCGGGTCATGGGGAGCTTCTCATGGCTCAATACCCCCAAGTCCTTCTCCTCGGGACTATTCTCTATCCAGTTTCCTGCAGCCTGTGTCTGTGCTTGTATTTTTATTCCCATGGCTTCATTGCTTATTGTATCTCTCTGTGTTTCATGTATCCAAGGTGAATAGATAAAAGCTGTAAGGGGGGATATATCTGTGTGTACCTTTTTTTTCAGGTAGAATGAGTAATTTCATGTTCTTGTCAACTTCTACAGTAAGGTTGTGTTTTATCTAGCCCCTATTTGGTCTGTCAGATGTTTTTTTGTAGAGAAAGAGTGTTTCTGAAATGTCAGTGGCATTATCTCCAAAATTAATCCTTTTGCTGGTGCTAAATTGTTTAAGTAGTGCACAGGAGAAGAAATAGCAGTTAGAAAGGAGGAATTTTGCCTTCTTTGTAAAGGCTGCTAATTCAGTTTTAACAAATAGACAGAAAATTGTTAGGTTGAAGTAATATTTCCCATTCTTCCACAATTATAACACCAGCTGCTGCTTATCATGTCAGAAAGAAGAGATTTTGAAGTGTTTACATCCCCAGAATTAGCATTAACTCTTCATACACATAAAAAACCTGGATAAAATGAAGCTAAACCAGAAGCTAAATACCCTGAATTGCTTTTACATGGGTCTCTTCAGAGTGGAGGGAGTTTTGATGCCAAAACTTTTCTTTGCAGATGGCCCCTCAAACAAGGTGTCAGATCTGAACTGCAGTAGAAAACATCAAGGGAAATGGACAGTTTTACCAGTAACAGCTCTTCAAGGCAGGGTGTGATTCATAAAAGCTCTGAAGGAAACTCAGAGGTGATGGATGAGCTAATGGGAACTGAACTGCTGATGTGCTGTGTAAGCTCTTAGGGATGACTCCCTCGATACAAATGGACAGTCCTCAATACAAGTGGCTGATGGGATGTCAACTGCTTCAAAACCAATTCTGAGGGAGATCCAGAGGTTTCCAAACCACTAATTCTGATGTTTGTGCCAAACGACGTAGAAGTTACAATTCAGAGTGGAGTTTCCAGACCCTGAAATCCCTTGTTGGGTCAGTGTGAAGATTTGTTCAACTGTTGCTGCTTAATTGAGCAGAAATAAATCCAACTGCTGTTGATGCCTTTAACACCTTCAGATGTTGTTGTTGGCTTTGAAAAGTGACTCAGACATAGCTTAACTTTGCTTATCTGCAGGCTTTGGGTCTAATCTTTAAAGAGCAATGGTGATGAGACTCTGTGTGCTGAAGAGCCAGTGAGGTTTTGCATCTCTTCTGGCTCCTCACTGTTTCTGGCTGTGTGATCCTACTGCCTCCGTTGCAGTAGGACTGATATTTGATACTGAAATGAGCTGACTTGGGAGAAGTATTAGCCAGAACAAGCCCCATTCAGCCTGTCCTTGAACACTTCCAGGAATGGGAATGTTCAGGGCCCAATTGAATGGGGCTTGGAGCAACCTGGTCTGGTGGAAGGTGTCCCTGCCCATGGCAGAGGGTTGGAACTGAATGAACTTTAAGGTCCCTTCCAACCCAAACCAGTCTGTGCTTCTGTGAAGTCCACTATCCTTATTTTTATCTCTTGTCTATCAAATGATGTGACCCAGCTTGTTTTTAAGGGTTGGGTGTACACCAGTTAGGTGTAAGCAATGCTTTGCCAATGAAGAATTTCATTACCTTTTTTTTTCTACCCATTTCTATCTCTGCAATGCAGTTCACTTCTTTTTGTGTTGTGTCAGGGCAGATGATGTGGACTGGAGCAGAGGCATTACAAATCCAGCCTGGAGGCCTTTTTCAGATGCAGACATATCCTCAATATGCTTTACAGCTTGACTTCAGAAATAGCTCAGTTGAGGAAATTGCAGGCTGTGTATGGAGGGCAAGTTGTTGGGGGAAGAAGATGAAAAGCTCTTGAACTGGCCTTGCCACTGAAGAGTGGTTTTGTACCTTTACGTACGGGTAGTTCTGAGAGATGATATTTGCGAAGTATCCCTGAGTGTTTTCACCAAAGGACGGAGTGCACCACGTGCTTCAAGTCACAGTTGAGAAGTGCCTGTAGCAGTGTTCCTGATAACAAAGTATTTCTTCTATACCCTTAGCATGTATATGGTATTCTTTCTGCCCATCTCTCCTGAAAGAGGATTTCATAGTCACAGAATCACGGAACGGTTTAGGTTGGAAAGGACCTTAAGATGATCTAGTTCCAACCCCCTTACATGGGCAGGGATGCTTAACACCAGGCCATGTCATGCAAGGCTCTGTCCAACCTCGTCTTGAACATTGCCAGGGATGGGGCAGCCACAG